TTTTTCTTTCCACCAACAGTCCCCAGCGATGAAGACTGCTGGACAAGAAGCCACAGTTCCTGACCTCACACCGGGCAGAACATGACAGTTCTAGGGTAGGCGCGGCCCCCTTTTGTGACGAACGACCTGCATCAGTTTACACACGTCGCCCACGAGAGATAAGAGGGGACCGCGGCGCGGCCAGCACTAGCGTGGGTGTCTCGCACAGCCAGCAGAGAATCCAGCGCAGGCCATCGCGCACAGCGCGCCAACAACTGCAGACCCAGGGCTAGAAGGGGCGCGGCCTCCCGGTGGGCCCCAGGAAGGGGCCGACGTCATTCTTCCCCCGCAGCCGCGCCCGGTGACCCCTTCTGCGCAGGCGTGTGCGGAGGAGGGATGGCGACAGGAAAGAACAAAAACCTTCCAGGCACCGATTCCGCGTCCCTTCTCAGCCCTCCCCACCCCCACTCCGTCGCCTCCTCCCTCAGCGGACTCCTGGTCTGGGCTTTAGGTACCATCAGCCCGAGAGCCCGGGATGAGACACCCTCCCAGTCCCCACCATTGGCGACCAGGAACCGGTTCCAGCCCTGTGGAGAATAGAGAACAGGCGTTTCTCAAGCAGCAGACCCACCTCTTCTGAGTCTTCTCCGCCATGGTACCGCCCGGTCTCCAATGGGAGCCGAGATCGACACCGCGGCCTGGATAGAGCGATGATTTCTATACGCGACTGGAAAGCCTGGCAGGGTTGGGGGCGGAGCCTCGGGTGGCCGGGCCCTTGGGGGCGTGGCCCGCGAGCGGAGGGGTGGGAGGCTCGCGGCCACTCCAGTTTATCTGTTCGTGGTGCGTGCGGGTTGCTTGCGTGACCACCCGCGGATTTCAGACCTATCCAGGGGTCCATAGACCCGAATTTAAAACAGCTGTTTGTCGCAAGCCAACGTGCATCATTATGACTTCCTTTTACCCTCTCTCTTCGGTACTCGTGATCCCGCCCTGCTAGAGTTCCTTCGACCTTCCAAATGTCCCTGAAAAGGGACATCC